CTGAGGGCCCTCGTCTCACCTCAGATATTCTCATCCAAGTCCAATGTTTCAATTTCCTTCCACAGCTGAGGGCCCTCATTTGCTGTCACTGCCCAGGCCTCTCCCCTGAGCTCTTCCCCAGGTCTCTGGCTGCCCCAGGGTGTCTCCCCTGGAGCCCCCAGGCCCGTCCCACCTGCCTCCATGGAGCTCAGTGTCTTCACCCCAAAGCTGCTCCCCTTCTCCCCCCGTCACCAGGTGAGACCCATGGGTGCTGTCCTCACCATCTCCGTCCCCATCCCCTCACAGCCTGACAGTTCCCAACCTGCCCTCCTGCCCCTGACTCTCTGCCTTGTCCCCTCCTCTCTCTCCCACATCCCCCTCATCCTTTCCCCTCGACCCCTACTCCAGCCTCCCAGCCTCCAGTGTCTCCCCTCCAGTCTTTCCCCACACCAGAGCTGGCCCTGCCCCTCCCCTGCTCAGAATCCTCCCATGGCTCCCTAGCACTCCCAAGAAAAAATCCAGGGTCCTCAGAGGGAGTCCAGGCCTCTCCCCACCTCTCCACCCTTCAATCCCTTCCTCGAAGCCAGAGTGAAGCCCTCCTTGCTGCCAGCCCAGGCCCTATGACTTTCCTACTTCCCCACCTTTGCCCAGGCTGTTCCTTCCCACCAACCTGACAGGTTCAAATTCTCTCCAACCCTCAAGACTCAGCCCTAATACCTTCTCCTCCTGGAACCCTGATCCTCTCATCCAGCTGCAGCCTCTCTGACCACCCCCAGACACTCACACCACCCCATCTGTCTCATTATCGCTACTGCCCCTTCATCATAGGCTGCCTGGTGGCTATTTATGGCTTCCTACAGAATGGGAGGCCTGTAAGACCCGATTTGAGTGAATCGCTGACTGGCTCTATGCCTCAGTTTCCCAACTCAGAGTGCAATCAAGAGCCTAGCTCCTGAATAGAAGCCCATTTGGAGCAGGCGTCCTTGCGCAGAGAGGTGGGACACAGGAACTATTCTGGGGGCGGGGCTTAGAGTTGGCCGGCCAGGGGAGGGGCTGAAGTGTTGGGACTGTGGTTCAAATACTGGAGTTGGGGGCGGAGCTCTGGCTGTGGGCGGGTCCTAAAGGCGGAGCTTAGATTATTGTAGGAGAGTGGGGCTCAGACTATTAGAGCCTGCAGCACAGGGCTCAGAATGTGGCAACATAGTCACAGGGTTATCCCAGCATCTGGGGAGGGGTTTAAACTAATATTGGAGCGTGGGAGCCGGGCTCAGTTTATCGGAGCTCGGGGGCAGGGCTCAGAATGCTGAGCGTGGGGGCGGGGCCCGGAATAGCGAGCGCGGGGGCGGGGCCCGGAATAGTGAGCAGGGGGGCGGGGCCCTGAATAGTGAGCGTGGGGGCGGGACCCGGAATAGTGAGCCTGTGGGCGGGGCCTGGAATAGTGAGCCTGCACACGGGGCCCGGAATGTTGAGCGTAGGACGGGGCCCGGAATAGTGAGCGCGGGGGCGGGGCCCGGAATAGTGAGCCTGTGGGCGGGGCCTGGAATAGTGAGCGCGGGGGCGGGGC